ATTTCCCCAAAGAGCCTCGTCAACCTAAATAACATTCATTCAAAGGCGTCCCTCACTTTGGAAGCTTAGGTTAGATATTGGGAAAAACTCTCATTGGGAAAGTACTGAACAGGTTACCCATAAAGGTGGTGAACTCTCCATCCTTGAAGGTTTTTAAGACCCAGGTGGACAGAGCCTCGGCTGGGATGATCTAGTTAGGTACTGTCTTGGTTTGAGCAGGGGGGTGGACTACATGAGACTTCCCGAGGTCCTTTTCAACCCTCATTTTCTGTGATTCTACGATCTGGGCCACGCCGCCTCAGCCAGCCACTGGGTATGTTCAGGGAATGGATGATGTGCCTGACTTCAGGCCAACCCAGTTAACTGCTTCACTGTCCTTTTGGCAGTGGCAGTGGTGACTGCCGGTCAGGAAAACCCAGTGTCTTTGAGATTTTTCTTTTGAGCCTTGTGGTACATGACGCTTTTCTAAGAGAAGTTCCAGTTCCTGGGAGCACATGATTGTCAGAGAATTGCAGCTTTGTTTCAGGGAGCAAAGGTTTGGGTGGATAAGTAAGTGCATAAGCAACACACAGGACCTGGATACGAGCACTGGTGGTTCGCATGCAGCATGTTACAGGAGGATCTTGAAGATTAAAGCCCTTGGCAGACAATTTAATGGCATGATGGGACCTGATCCCAGATCCCAACAATTGTATGTCCTGCCAGGCTACAAGTGCATGGCAGGAGGCAGAGCTGTCTCTTGGGAAGGGGTGAGTTGGGGTGACCGCCCCAGGCCCTGCACTTTGGGGGGGCCCGTGGACATTGCCATACAGGCCCCACTGAGGGCACCACCACTCTGCGTGGTCACCGCACACCGCTGACTTTGCACTCCAGCTGCTGCCACCCACCCCGGCTCTGGCTGCTCGTCATCCTCCCCCGTACTCCATGCTCCGGCCACTCGCCCTCCCCCCAGCTCCACGCTGCACACTCCAGCTGTTTGCCATCCCCCCCTGCTCCATGCTCCAGCTGCTTGCCATCCCCCTCCCCACCCCCTGCCCTGGCCACTTGCCATCCCCCCCACCTGCTCCACACAGGCCCCGCACACCCGTAGAGTCAGTTCTGGCAGGAGACATAATTCTGGGAATGAGGGATCAGATACCAAACGCACCCTTTCAACTTGCTAGCTCATGTGGAACCTGAGCACATGATCCTGGGCTCCAACTGCACTTACAAGTTGGAAGCTATGCACAGCGCAGCTCTACTCAGGGCTGCCAGAGGCACTGGTCTGCAAGTGCCAGGCAGAGGGAATCAAGTATACTTACAGACTCCCTGGGCAGCCCCAGCGCAGTCCGAGACCCTCGGCTGCCTTAGTCCCTATGCCAACAAACAGCTAATTGTCAGCATGGGAGCTGGGGCAACCAAGGGTCTCCAATCAGGCCTGGGCATGCCACACATTCAATTTAAGGCTCCATACAAGCCAGCCACAACAATATTCTATATTAGATGTGGAACATCTTTGTGGCTGGTTTACCATTCTATGGTACATGTTGTCACACAAGCCTTTCCTTTTAAGGTTTGCTTGAATACAATTGGCCAGCAAAGTATACATGAAAAAACAATGTTCAGTCCCTCATGCAGAATACATACTCAGCCCCATTTACACAGTCCCATATTTGACCTTCTGGCCAACCCATATTCAGGCATGTTTGCAGATGCAGTATTTAGTGAGCTATATCACTTCAGTACTGATTCTTTTAAAGCAGTGCAAGAGAGAAGCAACTTCATCAAAGACAATGGAATTACAGTAAGAGTCAAACAAGCAGACACTGGCTGCCTAACCCAGTCCCACACTAGCACTAACACCACCTACAATAAAAGATTCTATTGGAAAAGTCTATTACTTGGCTTGGGAATTAGATTGAATGACATAAGAGAAGTGAAATAAGAGGAGATTTCCTAGAAGTAACCTAAATTATATGACACTAAGGGGACTTGTAACCTGCATTTCTTGAGGCCATCCCAACAGTTTTCTAGCAGAGGCAACATCATAATCAAGTCCTATAATCAGGTTCTACATCAATTGCTGTTTACAGTATTTACGAGGGTCATTCCAAATCTAGCCTTATATTACAAATTGCAAACTAAAAGCCTTCCCAAAATATAAACTCCATCTGACTTGCTTTTTACCTACCTGGTTTAATGATTTGTTGTTGACACTGGCCATATGTGAAGTATATCATTACTGGATTTTGGAAGGTAGCAAGGAGGGCATTTTGTAGATTGCCTTGAGATTTGTTTGCTTTTCAAATTCTTCCTAGTATGAGTGCAAATATACTGATAAACTAGACCAAGGGGCAAGTAACTAACAACATGGCCCACAATGCTAGCCTTAGTTACCAGCAAGGAAACACTGGCTCCAATAAGAGTTTTGCCATTTGTTCAATGTGTCCAGGATTTTGTCCCTGTTAACCATCCTCTTTAAACCCCCCATTCCTGCTTATTATTGTTTCACAAAAGATTAAATCCACCTCTCTCGTCATCCAGCCATCAATGTTTCAGACCAGCAATGCAGATGCTTGGAAACCCAATTCCTCAACATGTAAAAGGATCGCTTAAACTCCAGGCCAGGAGCCCAACCCCAGAGCACAGGGTTTGTTATTTTTTTATTTCTTTCAGTTCAGCAGCATTGTTTCCAAGCAACAGGAGAAAGCTTTAGTTTAATGTGAAGCAGTAGCCTAATTTCCCTCAGTCGCAGTCTTAGCTGCAGACACGGAAGGAGCAGCAGCATCAAGAGTGAATTCCATCCTCCAGATTCCAGGAAACAGAGAAATGCTCAAGCCAAGATCTATTTAATAATCATTTTAAGGCCTCTAAAAAGGATGTGATACAGGTAATGGACTATTTCTCATATACTCTGTGCATGTGCATGTGTGTAATGAGACCTTATGCAGAATAGTTGATGGGATTGTTAAGTGCATAGACATTTTTCTTAGCATATACATAATTATTACCTTTCTGAGTAGCTCCTGAATGGCAGAAAGATAGGCTGTGACTTTCAATTAGCTTTCAAAGTCACGTCTTTGGAAGGCCTTGCGTTGCCCAATGTACATCCTTCCCCAAGGAACCGCTTTGGCACTCCTGCTCTTAAATGAATAAAAAAGCTGTAATTATAAAGTTACGGCCAGATCCTCAGCTGATGTAAATCATCTCTGCACTATCCATGTCAATGGAGCTACACTGACTTACACTCTCTGAGGGTCTGGCCCCTAACCATTTACAAGAACCACTACTGGGCTACTTCTAATATATTAGTGCAAACACTTACGCTGGCATTGGAGAACTTTAATGGTTATATGCTGGTTCTGGAGGTTTTGATCCTTATTAATGATTCTGTTGGGACCTATGTACAATGGTGATGGGCACTTTAGAAAAACATTATAGAGAGCTGTCTCACTCCACGTTGAAATGTGCATTTGTAGTTTTGTAAATTATGAAAACCAATGACTTTTAGAGAGATCAAAGTGTGTCATTTGACTTGTTTTGCATAGTGTATTACCTTGTTGTAACAGGGTAGCATCTTCAGCAGCATTTTAAAGCCTACGAAGGCACCTCAAACTCCCTTGATATCTGTTTTCCTCTGGGAACAAACTCCCCTTCACTCTCCTGCCACGACTTGATGTTCCCTGGTTCTTGAAGAAGAGGCTGTACCAGGGCTTCCCAGGCAAGATCTATGCTCTCACTCACCAAGGTGAGGGGCTTTTGCCTTAAAGGCTAATTGCACGCTCCAACCTTCCCTTAACATGCCTTAAGCCTCACAGTTGTGAGCTGTATGTCTCTGTTGGGACTTCAGCCTACTTGGCTTCTGCCCCTTTCTCTCTAGCTAGGCCCACTAGCCTAGACCCACTAGACAGGGCCAGGCTATGAGGCTTTAGTCCCTTAGTATGCTCTGGGCTCATAGCCCCATACAATTTTCCCAGACTCCCTGTTGGTGTTTCAGCCCATCTGGCCTCATCCCCTTTTTATATGGCTAGCCCCTTTAGGCCAGACCTACTGTGTCAGGCTCGACTTTAAGGCCCTAGCCCCAAACTAGGCCCCTGGCCCTTATCTGCTGTACCCCTCTGGCGCTGGGTTCCCAGCCCCTCTGCAGCTGTGCCCCATGGAAACTAATGAGGCCTCCTCCTCCCCTACAGCCTCAGCCACAAATCACTAGTTTACAAATACAACATAAACAGTAAGCCCCTGGACTATAACAAAATAAAGGTAAAGAAGGAAATCTGCCTGCTTACAGTTCTGTGGCTCTGCGTCCCACCGTCTGCTGCTTTCCTTTGAAGAACTGCCACAGCCTCTCTGGGAGTTCTCAAGAATTCACCCCCTCAGCCAGCCCCCTCTGACAAGCTCAGACCAGGGTTTATATAGCTCTGGCCTGAGCTCTCTTCCGGTCACCTGATGCCCCAATCAGCTGACCAGCCAGCCAGGCTCAGCTTTTAACCCCGGCTCTACCGGCTTGCTGTGCCTTGAAAGTTCTGTTCTTAAAGGAGCCACCATGCTTCCTAGTAATGGGACTCAAGTTCCCTGTTACACTTGTCAAAACTTGTGTCTGTGTCCTTATCCCCAAGCTGGCCTGCCATAACCTCTTCTTCTCTAGCCTACTCTTCTTCCAATTTACAGTGATCTGCAACCAAAATAACCCACCTCTCCAGTCACATCACTTGGGAGTTGCCACTATTTGCCCTTTGTGGGGCAGGGAAGGCAGGGTGAATACTCAAACCGTTAAAAGTTTGGAAGAGGTGATGAGACTCAACACAATACAGTAGTTCAATATGTCCGCTCTCCTTTCCCATTACAACCCAACTTGTGCATTATTTTGCCACTACTGCATTGCCTATGTTTTGCAGGAGTTTTTAAATATATTATACTAATTTGTTTATGGCTTTGATTCAGTCATTGTTACTTGTGCACAAAATGACATGTGCTTCTGTTTCTCTCAAATTTATTCTGGATTTTAGTAAGCAGTTTGAGTTATGGCAGATTTCCAGACAGCTAGAAAACACATGGAAAGAAAACAGATAGAAAGAAAACGCCTGATAAAAGAGGTTGAAAAACTCTTGTAAGTACTGATTCTTATTTGCTTCTCATGCTGTACTTCAGTGAATGTAAAGGGTTTTTTTAATGACATATTTGGTGCATCTGCACAAGATGTTTGTTGTGTAGTAGACTAATTAGCTGCACAGTAAATAGCATTTATATGTGCACCCCTATTAGGCTGGAGTAAAGTAATTTATTCCACAGCAGCATAGTACTTGTAAATAAAAGTACTTGAAAATACAAGTAGTATCCTGCTGTGCAGTAAAAAATTCCACAGCAGTGCACATGTAGACACAGCCCCATATGGCTGGGGCATAAGGGTGCTTCAGTGTTGGGGCTGTCTGCTGGCTAGCCCTGCACTGAAGCACATTTATACCTCAGCCAGTCCCTCTGCAGCATGTTGAACCGGGCAGGAGGCTGCCCCAGGCTGGCAGGCTGACCCCTCGGGTCCCCTGCCAGCTGGAGCTGCTCTGCCCCAACTCAATGTACTGTAATTCTGGGCATTAAACACATACCTCAGAGCATTAAACTCTGAAGCAATCAGCTCTGGAGTTTATTGCTGCACATTAATGGCACATGTAGATGCACCCACACATATATAAAAGGATAACATATCTTTCTTTTCTGAACTTATTCTGTCAGTGGAGGAAGGAAGAGAGAGTCCTTATGGAAAGCATATGGTATGAACCTCCCTGTATGGTCCAGCCAGTACAGCTATTACTGCTATGTGAACAAGACTGCCCTTGTACCTCATATAGGAGAGTCTTGTATTTGTATATCTGAAGTATACGGTGCTCCATCCAATAGACAGCTTTTTCAAGGTTGTAATTTAGCTTCTGTTATGTTCAATGTGAGTCCCACACTTGACTTCACTAGGGCTCCTTCCATGAGTAAGTACTATTAAGTCTGAGCAACAGTTTATAGAGTCAGGCCCTTAATGAAAAAGAAAACCAAGAATAAATGGAATAGCACTTTCAGGCTGGTGTTTTTACAGTGAAATCCCTGCTATGCTCTTGCTGCATTTTCTGCAGTAAAACCAGGACCTAAAGAAAACAATCCCAAGTAGGACTTTATTTTTAATACTTTGCTTGCACTTGCCTTTCTCCTTTTACTTCTAACTCTCTGAGGAATTAAGGCAGCTGAGAGTGCCACAAAAGCAAAAATAAGGAGGCTTTTCACAGCAGGCTTTCACAGCTTCAGCTGGACTCCTTGGTAAATCCATGGGCCTGGAATTGCAGTAAAAGCTCTAATTTTACACTAGCTTTTAAGATCTTTCTACTCCATCCTCTCTTGCACTAGATTACCTACAACTGCTTGTAATTCAAAGGTGCTCTCTTGCTTTAAGGGGAGATTATGTTGGCATCAGACTTCGGGAAATTGAATTTGACCCAAAAGGAAGAAGGCAGCCTACCTTTCTAGATTACATGGTAACCAGATGTCTCCTTATTCTAATCCCACATTCTTTATTCCTGGGTTAATGAGATATCTGAAGGGTGCCTAATTTAGTGCAGTTAAATAGCTTGCTATTAATATCTGGAAACAAAAAACTTTTATTTAGAGGAAAGAAAATATCTTGGGATCAGTTGTATTTAATAACCCAGGGTAACAGCTTCAAAGCCGAAGTTCAGCTGACTTTCAGCGGTACATAGGGGTAACCTAGATGGGAAAGCTAAGGAAAAGTTAAGATAAATAATCTAAGTTTGAGGCAAGTGCAGATATCAAATTTAGGCGTGATTAGTTAAATCTCATTAATGCATGTATAGATGCAACCCAGCATTAATTTTAGTGCTGGGTCTGCCCATCCACTAGTGGCACATGACAGGGCTGCAGGGACTTGGCACTAACTTTAGTGCCAAGTCCCTGCATGTGTAGACAGCTGCCAAAAATCACTTAATGCACATTAAATTTAGTCATGCGTGTAGATACACCCTTAGTAGCACAAACAGGGCCAGTAACTCCTTTCCCAAATTATATCCACAACTGAGGATTTATTTATCTACTACTTTGTCTTGATGCAGGAATTACTTTGTCTTGATGCAGGTAACATGCTTTAGCACAGAGTTGTAGTGGAGATGAAACTAGATGATCATAAATTGTTCCATCTATCATTAAATTATGAAATTACCCTTACATTCATGGGATCAGAGTAGTTCAGTCATGTTTGTGAAGTACTCAGAAGACAAATAAGTACACTATGCAAGCTCAGAGTGAAATTCTGGCCCTGTTAAAGTCAGTGGGAAAACTCCTTTTGACTTCAGTGAGGCTAGGATCTCACCTTTAGTACAGATACATTTGTAGATGAAGAATATTCATAATCGTACAGACTTCTCTGAAAATGTTTTTAGATATGTTGTTATAGCCACTCTCTGTGGATGCAGGAATCCACTCACAAAAAGCCAATTGCAGGACTGAGGCCTGACTTTTCACCTGAGTTTAGGTTCATCCTTTCCAGGATTGTTTGCTAATTTGGGACTGAGGAATTGAGCAATCCAGAAGTTATGGATGGTGGTAAAACCCAAGATAGTGACTACTTTATAGGCCTATAAACATTCATTAAGGCCATCTTAGGATGTTTTGAACAAGGGAAATGGACCAAAGTCCAACATCTATAGCAGCAGTTCCCAACATGGTGCCCGTGGGTGCCATGGCGCCCCTCAAGGTTTATTCAGGTGCCCGTGTGCATTTTCACGATCAGTAAAAATCATTATTCCAACAAAAAATGCTGTCATATTGGCATCCACTGCTTTTTCTTTTAAATTCTAATGTGCCCTTAGGCACATAAACTTTGGGAACCCCTGATCTATAACATAGTTAGGTAAAGAATTTTAAGTTGTCCAGGGCAAGTTTCAAAGGGAATATGTTCAAAGAGCTGATAGTGCACTAGATGAGGCAGCAGAGATGGGGAAGTAAACTGTGTCAGAGAGGGAGGGCTCAGTTTTCTTTCCACATGAGCAAGGGAGAAGCAGGACTCAGTTATGATTCCTCTGAGTCATATTTTTGCTCTGTAACCTGTTCCTGATGCACTGTAGCTATGGGCTACCCCTTTCTTCATGGCATGGTGCTGTCATATGCACAAAGCAAACAAATTGGAAAATGAGATGATTTTGCTAACTTTTTTTTTTTTTATTATAGTAACAGTAGATGCCGTTTGTGACCGTGGCAGGAACACAGTATTTAGATTTTTATCCTGGCAGTGTCCTTTAAATACTGCCCTGTGTTTGGCCAGTATAGGCTTGCTGGGTGCAGCACTATTTGAGTGAATATGATCATTCTTAGATGGCTAATGACTCCAGAGTGTGAGTGAAAGTTTAACATTATATCTCCATTCAGAGACCATAAAATATAAACATGGGCAGTTTGCAGCCTTGCAATGAAAAGGGTTTCCTTAGATGTCTGACACTGCCGAAGGATGCTCTTGGCAAGATGGTGGCCTAAGTATGTTAACTTTATGATATGATACCATAATAAAGTTTCATATTGTAAAGTTGTGTTTGCAGCCTTGCTTCAGTGAAGCACATACTTAACTTTGCTCATGTCCTCAAATCATACCAAAATCAAAAAAGTTAAGCTCATGTTTAAATGTCGTGCTGAATTGGGGTCATGCAGCCTTCTGCATCCATGGTCCTGAAAAGTGCTTCTCACATCATTAATAGATCAACCTCAGAACCCACCTGTGAAAAAGATCTATTTTACCTGCCTTTTATAGCCAGGAAAAGCAAGGCAAAGAAATTAAGCAATTGCCAGATGTTTGCCAAGTAAATCATAGCTGAATTCTGCACTCAGTTCTCTCTCTCATGACTCCTAGTTTCATGCTATTGCTCATACTGATATAAATCTGATTCATACCCAAACTTATATCTGCATGCAGGCATGTTTAATTTAAGACATGTGTCCTATTTTGGAGGTAATTTATGGTGCCTTTTCAACCTCCCAACAATAAGGTACCACAAGAGACAGAGTTTGTGGGCAAGGGGGTCATCTGACGAGTACACCCAGCACGTGATAGATTCATAGATTCATAGATGTTATTGTCGGAAGGGACCTCAATAGATCATCGAGTCCGACCCCCTGCATAAGCAGGAAGGAGTGCTGGGTCTATATGACCCCAGCTAGATACTCATCTAACCTCCTCTTGAAGACCCCCAGGGTAGGGGAGAGCACCACCTCCCTTGGGAGCCCGTTCCAGACCCTGGCCACTCTAACTGTGAAGAAGTTCTTCCTAATGTCCAATGTGACATTGTCCCATGTGATTGTGTTTCACATTTTACTGCATGTTGTTACATCTAAGTTTCTTTTCTATTTTCAGGCTCATTATGACTTAGCCATCAATGTTGCTCTACTATGGCTAAATGAGTCAGAAAACAAAACTCCTTTGACAAAAGGGAAAAAGTAAGTATGAAAAAGCTAGGGCCAAGTTCCTGCATTGGTATTACACTAGTGTGAAACTGGAGTAATGAAGCAATGATTCAGATCCAGTATCTATCACTGATTAAATAAATCAGACTAACTATTTATTCATATTCCCCTGATTATCCTGCACAGGAATGTACCAGTTCACAGGAGATACATATATCCCAACCGAATTGAGAGAAAAGCTATGATTTTATCTTCGTATGCTGGAATATTAATGGTAAGGAAGTGATCATGGTTGCAAAATCTTTTGTTCTACAACAGCTTCCCAGTTTAATTCAATATAACATGTATCTGTCTGATAGTTCATTTACATACAGCATGCATTGTATTTTTTTTAAATACTATTATCTGAGATACGGTAAATGCAAAAAAAAAAAAAATAGAAAGCCTGATACAGAATAGGTAGGTGAATTTCTTATCTTATAAAGACCTTCTGACATAAAAAATAACAAAGAAAAATATCAATGGTAATGATAGCTTCATCTAACACAGGCTGGTGTTAGATCCCGTTTAGCAGAATGCTCTTCTCCTGGGCTTTTCTTGCTATTTATTTAATGATGCATTTTAGGCATATGATTAGATCTGACTGAACTCTGCTTTGTTCCACTGTATCTTTTCTATAATAAGAGATAATAGGAACAAATAGCACGAGGAACATCTTAGCTACATTAGCAACACTAGAAAGGCATGTCATATTGAGCACATGATGATACTGAATAAGTCAAAACATTTCTGGCTCTCACTAAGATGGGGCATCAGTTGGATTTTATTTTTTTTTAAAACAAAGAAAAAAAAAGTAAAGAAAACCTCTCCAAGAGCTAAACCCCTTTCTGTTTTCACAGAATAGCATCCCTGTTGAAGAGGTCTTTGAGATTTACAGCACTGCACCCTCAGCCACACACTGGCAGCACTCTGAAAAAGTGAGTTGTTTGCTGATGTGTTAGTATCTTTTATAAAGATCACAGTGAAAGAACTGTGAGTGAGAGCTTAAAAAAAATCACTAGCAGTATATTCCAGTGGTTAGGGCACTAGAGTAGGAGAGTGATGACCTGGCTACTATTCCTAGCTCTGGTGCTTACCTACTCAGAATTGGGCTAGTCACTTGTCCTCCCACCCTCATTCTATTTAGATAAATTGATAAGGTTCCAATAAGTTTACCATCACCCCTGTGTGTGTATATAATCACCTAGCAGTAGGACCTTGACTCTAGTTACTGATTTTGTGCTACTATAATACAACTTCTATTAAATGACAGTTGACCAATGCCATTTATTTCTTTTTAATTAAATAAAACGGGTTTAATTCAACAAGCTTTCCTACCATCCTTTACATATATAGCACATATTAAAATACTGGCAAGATCATAGAGTTTTCTTGATCTAGTTGCTTGGAGGTCATCCTCTGGGTCTGTACTGCTAACAGCTGTTGTTTATACTGCTTGTCCTGTATTAGAACAGTGGTGACTCTGGCAGAAAAAGTGGAGGAGAATTAACACAGTATCACATTGATAAGCTTTATGCAGTGCATTACAAACATACATGAACATGCAGTGAGATAGACCACATTGTTTTGAAGATGCCACTAGCTCTTTTCTCCTTCGGTGACCTCACTTTGTGTTTGCTGGAGATATACCAGTAATATGGGTTTATGTGAAAGGGCAGTCTCTTCCTAGAATCTTGCTGGATTCCAGGAGTAAAATCCTATCACCCACACTCTGTTCCAGAAAGCTACTCACTCTGTTCCAGGCAGCTACTAAAGAGGTTTTTAAAAAACAGAAAGAAAGAAAAATACAGCTACCATTTCAGATCTACTTTCTTATAGTCTCAGTAACAGACTTCTTCCCATGTCTGCAGTGCTTCATCTTTGGCCTGGTTCTTCCTACAGTTCTTCAGATCACTTCCCTCTTGCATGGAGTCTGCAGATCTTTCATAGATGAGTCTTCTTCATGGATTGTTTTTTTGCGTTAAATGCTTATAAGGACTAACATGAAGTGGGAGGATATAGAGGGCATTTAAAAGGTAGATTTAGGCTTTGAGGTACGGCAGAGTACTGACCAAAGATACCGTGTTCCAGAACCAATCACAGTTCTAATCTCTAGTTTCAAAAGGCTTGCTCCGGCCAAGCACAAAACTCCCTGGTTGCAATCCAGCAAAGAATTTAAGAATGTGTTTAACTTTAAGCATGTGAGTAATTCCACTGGCATCAATGGCCAGGTCTATAAGACAAAGTATTACCACTATAGATTAAAAAAAAAAAAAAAAAAAAAATCACACCCCCTAACTGACACAGCTCTTTCAACATACCTCTCCCCCATGTAAATGCAGCTCACATCAGCAAAAAAGCACTTTTTTGCGATTGTTAGTTGTGCCTTTGCTAGGGGGTTCTAGTTGCACTGGCAAATGCTTTGTACTTAGATTAGTGCAATGACACCATTTACATGCTTGGGAAGATGCATAACAAAGTGTGTTACTGGTGTTGGGGCAGATTACTAAACACTTGGCAGAATCAAGCCTAACAGTTTGTATTTCTTGGTCTGGTTGCTTTGCTGTGGCAGCCTGTGTTTTTTAAAATGGTCAAATGTTTTGAAAATGTTGCCTCATTTTTCCTCAGTGATGATATGGTCAACCCTGCAAACTGCAAAATACAGATAAACAAATAATAGCTACAAAGTTAAAATACCATGAGGAGCAGGTCTAGTTAGAATTCCTGTCGTGTATTAAATCCTTATCCTGTTGTGCAGGAGTGCCTCAGTGGTGGACTCAGATTCTCTGCTTATCAATCAAGTAAAATATTAAATCTTGGAGTAAACGCACAGACCTGCTGTACTGTATCTGGTTGGCTATGAGTGCTTGATTGATTACCAAAGTCTACAAAGACAGTATTTTGTTCTTAGTTAGGTGAATAAGATCAATAATATGCCTGGAAAAGCTAGCTCTAGAATAGGACCTTGCACAGCATTCCAACTAGTGAGTCTTGTGAAGGCGTTTGTCTTCCTCTGACTTTTGTTCAGAAAAGATTCCACTCCACATAATTTTGAACCAGATGGCATCATTGGAAATGGAAAAACAATACGTGAACTACAGTAAAATTTACACATGAATTACAGCAGGATCAGGAATGGACAGACATGAAGCTAGACCACAGTAAATATATACAGTAGATGACTATTGCTACGCCATGCCATTATGGTGGTGGGCCAGCAGGTAATAACCTATTTGCCTTTAGTAAATGACTCTTCCAGTATGGAAGTGGACAGATAACACCTAAATGCAGGGGCAGGCAAAATACAGCCTGTGGGCCAGATCCAGTCCACCAAGCCGCAACCGGGAAGATGGCATAGAGCGCACCCTCAGCAAGTTTGCAGATGACGCCAAGCCGGGGGAAGTAGTAGACACACTGGAGGATAGGGCTAGGATTCAGAGTGACCTAGACAAATTGGAGGATTGGGCCAAAAGGAATCTCATGAGGTTCAACAAGGAGAAGAGCAAAGTCCTGCACTTAGGACAAAACAATCCCATACACCAATACAGGCTGGGGGCTGACTGCCTGGGCAGCAGCTCTGCAGAAAAGGACCTGGGGGTTACAGTGGACAATAAGCTGAATATGAGCCAACAGTGTGCCCTTGTTGCCAAGAAGGCTAACAGCATACTGGGCTGCATTGGTAGGTATGTTGCCAGTAGATTAAGGGAAGTGATTATTCCTCTCTATTCAGCTCTGGTGAGGCCACATCTGAAGTACTGTGACCAGTTTTTGGCCCCCCACTACAGAAAGGATGTAGAGAAATTGGAGAGAGTCCAGCAGAAGGCAACAAAAATGATGAGTGGGCTGGGGCACATGACTTATGAGGAAAGACCGAGGAAACTGGGCTTATTTAGTCTAGGGAAGAGAAGACGGAGATGGGACTTAACAGTAGCCTTGAAGTACCTGAAGGGAAGTTCAAAGGGGATGGAGCTGGACTGTTCGTAGTGGTGGAAGATGACAGAACAAGGAGTAATGATCTCAAGTTGCAACAAGAGAAGTTTAGGTTAAATGTTAGGAAGAATTTTCTCACTAGGAGGGTAGTAAAACACTGAAACACATTACCTAGAGAGGTGGTGGAAGCTCCATCCTTGGAGGTTGTTAAGACCTAGCTAGACAAAGCTTTGGCTGGGATGATCTAGTTGGGGATGGTCCTGCTTTGAGCAGGGGGTTGGAGTAGATGACCTCCTGAGGTCCCTTCCAACCCTAGCTTTCTATGATTCTATCCAGCCCATGGGGCCCCTCCAAAAGACAATTATTACTGGCCCGCCGCGCCTGTGCCTCTGAAAGCCAGTGGGAGGTATGGGCTTTACCCATAGAGTTAGCCTGGCCTGGCTCAAAGGTGCCAGTGGGCTGGGCTGGGCTGAGCCAGGCTGGCTATATGCCGCAACATGCAGTTCCCAGGACTCAGCTGGAGCCACTCTGCCTGCTGTGGGCTATGAGCACCCTTAGGGCCCACCACCTGCTGCAGTGGCTGTGTGCCATGGTGC